AGCCCAGCAGTTTGGCCAAGTGACGACTAAGATTTTCAATTGGCGAGGCTACCAACATGGTTACCTTGGCATTTAAAAATGATTCTATAGTCTACAGATATCTCTAGTATTCTCTAGTTATAGCAGTTAATATCCACTAATGGATACTAATGGATCATATGCGTGGCGAACAAGCCAACGGAGCAATCTGGGGACATGACATCACTTTAGGTGTAGCACCAAGACCGAGGTCGCACTGCTCCAACAAAATCGTCTACACCATTGCAACGAATACCTTATAGCAACCCCCAAAATGTTAAAGCAAATCAATCAAGTAAATTCCTACCATGAGTGAATAGCTGAGGCCAGTTATATACTATTCTCATTAGTTTTGGCTACACAAAGTGCATGCGCTATAATTGTAACATTCGAGGGCTCATCATTGGAGCTCAGGTCAGAGCATACACTCAAGAGGACCGGACCAGCGATCCAAAGGTTGGGATCCCACCAGCCGTGATTGTTTTTTGGGAGGTCTAGCATCATCCATCAGGATACCTCGGGTCCCGTATTGACACAAAGAACCATATCAAAAATTGACATGGAAACAACACCAGAATTTTCTGCAAATCAAGGCCTGAGAATCACCAACTTGTGGGTCCGAATGTGTCACAAAGGTGTAATTTGGATGCCGACTTCTAGCCGGTCAGAGAAACTTGTAAATGCTGAGACACCCACTGAGTCCTAGAGTTGCTTGTGAGGTCAAAATGTTAAAGTTAAAACACATTTTCCATCATTTTCCATACTGTTCCATCATTTGTTCCATCATTTTCCGGATTTTCCAGCATTTTTCCCATGATTTTCCGGTCGATTTTCTCTTCCACCCATGGCTTGGGCTGAGCTGCTGGAGCAGGAGTGGGAAGAACACTTTGGGCACTTCGCGAAGGACTTAGAGCAGATGGACTCTTCCGGTGCCCCTTGGGGACGTGTTTTTTTTGGCCGGGATTCCCTTGGAAATTCCTACCGTTCCCAAATGGTAGGGTTAGAAAAATGGGTGCCCCAGATGATTTTATCATCATTTCATCATCATTTACCCTAGGTACTGGAGATATTCCATGGAATTCACCAACTATTTTCTGAGGGATCGCCAACTATGATGGGGTTATTTTGGAAGAATTAGCCTAGGGTAAACATCCATTCAGATGTGGAAAAGCCATGGGGGTTTCCCCTCTGAACATGATCTCTCTCATGGGATTCTGGAACCCCTGAAGCTCCAAATCTGTGCCTTGATCTCCCAAATCCAGATATTACAATCTTGAAAAGATGGTTTGGAACACCTCTGGTTGTCGGTTTTGACATGGAACATGGTTATTTTCCATCGAAGTGGGATGATGATCTCGTTAGTGTGGCTCGTGAGCACTTTCTGGATCTAGGTGAGGTGGGCGAGTGAGCAGGGCCACGATCTGCGGAGATCTCTGGATTTGTCGTCATGACCACAGGCCACATGGTGAATTATTGGTGAATGTAAAGGAGAAACATGGAGAAACCATCAGCTTTTGATGAGCAATGGCGATCAAAAAGCAAAGTGAATCTGCATCATTCATGAACCATGGCCAAAAAGATGAGGTGAGATGACAGGTCGAAGCGAGTCTCCAGTCTGTCAGGATACTCAGAAAAGAGATATCCAATTCCTCCAGAAAAACACCTGGATATTCGGAAGAATAACAGTTTGCTATAGAAAATTGACCATTCAGTCTAAGTCACCAGAGGCTAGTCATAGTTTTGGCGGGGATCATAGGTGTTCACCCAACCTTTCTGCTGGCAGTAGCAGCGTGCGCTGTTACAAGCACCCTTTCACCTTACCCTACTCTTGGGTGAGGCCGCAACAAATGGGGTATCGCAGGTATGGTTCAAAATGAATCCAGTGCAGGGGCTCCAGTTGCCTCGAATTTTATACCTCCAATGATTCCAATGACTCATTTGTGGCGCCCCATATTTCCATCCCTCATAGCTCCGATGTGCCCGATGTGCACATGGGGGTTTGAGATTCCATCGTTGCATCCAATCAGCATCGAATCAGCATCGAATCAAGGTGCGCAGGTCGAATATGGATCTGCTGATGCGTTCCGCCAGGGAAATGCCCTGCCCCAAAGGAACACCACCAGGGCCAGGCTCCTTGCACCAAGATCTTTAAAGGGATGATCTCCATCGAAGCATGGCCGGTTTAACTGGTTACAGCGCACCCTCCAAACAATCCCGTCATCAGCCGTATATACAGTAGCTAAATCATTGCTATAGTAATAGTACTCGCAACAAAATGCAGAAAGGTTCAACCTACGACCGTTTTAGGCTGCGCGCACATAGAGACCCTCCAGTTGTTTTGACATTTGGTCAACGTAGGCTTTTTGAATTCTCTACTATACCTGTCAGGCTGCGGGGTTTGCTTACAAAATGTCTTTGCCTGTTATTTCATGCTCTATTATCTTCTCGATTCCAATTGCCATCAATCCCGGTATACACAATTTTCGGCCCCATGAATCAGATCATTTCTCCAACAGAAACCCTGAGAATCGCTACTTTTCAGAGTGGTCTTCCAACCCCACTATTCCAGGCAATGCAAGGGGCCTGCACCGCGGGGCTCAGACCTCATGCGGATCTCTTATATTCTCTTATGACTTTCTGACTTTATGACCACTTTTTGGGTTTGAAAAAAAAACGGGGGAAACACCAGTTGCAAGGGAAACATGGTGAAACTATGCTGGAAAGCGGATGATTTTCTGATCCTCTGGAATTCAACAGTGCCAGTTACATGGCCAAAATGATCCTTTGGAATTGCCGTTCCCCTTTTTCACACTGACAAACCCATGGGATCTGGTTGAATTATAATGACCTCAAAATTGTCGCAACTTGAATGGTAGGAAGGCGAAGGAGTAATTACTGTACAATTCAACCAGACAAGATACTTCTGATGCTGAAAGCTGGAAAGGATGTCGGAACATTGTCGGGCATTGTCAGGCCATGCGAGGCTAGCTGAGCAGAAGAGGGGACCCACAATTGTGAGACTTCACCGTTGTCTGGCAGACATTTTCTCATCGATGCTTGTTGGTTTAACGTCCAGCAAATATTCACTTCCACCTAATATTACCCTCTGGTTATTTAACATAGCCATGGAAAATCCCTCAAAAATGGAGGTTTTCATGGGAAAATCAACTATAAATTGGCCATCTATACCATTGCTATGTTAGATGACCAGAGGGTAGTTTAAACAGCCTCCAGAAACAATGCTTTAGTAGGGGATTCACACCACATACTTCAGGTATTTGGGACCATAGAAAGGGGTTTCTTTAATATGAACAGGGGATGGGATTATGATCATTCTGGCACTTCCCAAACGAACTATGTCCCGAAAGTACACATTTTATATATTTTAAGCCTCGAGCCCTCAAGGAGGTGATCCTCGAAACTCAAAAAGCTGGCCACAAAATGCTTCAGAGATGTGCCCAATGAGCACAACACATGCCGCTTTTTTTTTGCTGCGCAGCAAGCGGGTCTAGGTCAAAATCGACGATTTGACCCATAGCCCTACTACCATAAAAGGCGTGCGATGGGCGCCAGTGAATTTTCAGAACCGGTTCGGAGGTTGAACTAGTGCGTTTGCCAGGCATTTGCTCAGTACCTTCCAGTTAGTTCTATTTTAGATGGACAAATCCATCATTTGTAGATCATTTTCCTTAGCCATGTTAGTTTGGAGGGTGGCATCAACGGCCCAGGGTGCCCCAATATATTGGCTTTATGGAAATCGCATACATTCCGAAGGATTAAGCCAGCTGAACAGCTGCACTAGGTGACATCCTATACCATGCTGCCCCAGGATCCCAGATAAGATATTTGAAGGTTTCCTGAAATAGGGGTACTGTACCCCGAATTGATCCAAGTCATTCCTAGCCTAGTATTCTTTAAGAAGCATGGGTTTGAGGTACCCCCTTCTGAGGAAGTACCTGAACTGTGTGAGCTCAAAGAAACTGCCACAATTGGGTCCCAGTCCCCCCAGCAGTCTTGGCGCACTTGGACAACCCATTTCTTCAGAGCTCCCCTTCGGGGGGTCTGGCTGTAGCCAGCGATCGCTTTTGTAACTGTGAGGAAACAGAGCAGATGCTGAAATATGGCTTTGTCCAAGAATCGGTATACCGCATACCACAAGAATATATTATTTTAAATATGGCCATGTTTGCAGGGAAGATTTTGATACACCATTTTCGATTTTCAACTTGGGCACCACATTTTTAAGGACAAACCATGCCAAGCCCAGGTCCGACGATGAAGCTAAACTTGGTGGTACCCGAAAAAACATGGGGAAAAGCTTAAGAAGTCATGGATCTTGGGATGAAATAGCTGGATCCTCTGGTGATCATGATGTGTTTTGCTAATCAAACCTAGCTATGGAAAATAGCACTTTTTAATGGGGAAGTCATATCATGAACTCATCTATACATGGGCAATTTTCCTCAATTTTCCATATCTGGGATCACATTTTCCATAAACTTTTGCGTCGAAAAAAACAACCCAAAAAATTTCCTCGTAGACCAATGCCACAATACATTGGGGGTTTTTGGTGGATCTATATGGGATCCATATGGATCTGCACATATCTGCACTATTTACATCATTTTACATCAGTTCACTACTCTATATATCCGAAACTACATGAACCCAAGACCAGAAAAGCATGTTTTCCATATATCTTTGGTTAATTTGTATGTCACACCTGATTAAGTCCATGTCAGTCCCCATAATTTTGCTAGAGTCCCATGAATTGGCTGGTTAAAATCAATTCCCATAGCTATATTCTTGCTTCCAATGGTTTATTGTGTTTTACCATTGGTCATTAGCTAGTTAAATCATGTTTAATCAGCCATCGTTATATTTTGGTTATATCACCATTACATCCCCATGCTAGTCCCTATTATATCACCATAGATGGTGACACCAAGGTCCGACACGCCGCCGCGTTTTTTTCGACCCAGGCGCACACTGAAGACCCTGAACGCCTCCCTGGAAGCGAGTCAGGGAGGCCGAAGAGTCTCGCTGAATTTGGGACCTGATACAGTGTGGATATATCCAATGATTTTTAATCCCTTCCTCAAAAAATTATATAACCGCATTTGACATGATTTCACATGATTCAACATAATTTAACATGATTTTGCATGATTTAACTTAATCTAACATGATTTAGCACAACTGAATACCATTTAACATGATTTAGCAACATTTTCCGCGATTAAACATGATTTAACGTGATTCACATAATTCAGTATTGATTTAACATGTTCCGTGTTCCGTCCAACCCGGACGTTGCTCCACACTTACAATCATCCTCCTCCCCCTCCTCCTCCTCCCCATCATCATCATCATCATCATCATCATCATCATCATCATCATCATCATCATCACCATCACCATCACCATCATCATCATCATCATCATCATCGCAGCCAGTATCAACTCATGTGGAATGGGGTAATACCATCAACCTATATGTCTTATATTCGTAGGGGATCATAAATCCGCCACCCCTATGACAAATATGTTGATTTGTGTAATCACATCAACTTATCTTCATAAGGGATCAAACATCCACCACCTCTGGCAAATATGTTGAATGGTGCAATAACATCAAGTTGTCTTCATAAGGGATCAAAAATCCACCACCCCCTCTGGCAAATATGTTGAATGGTGTAATCACATCGACTTATCTGCATAAGAGATCAACATCCGCCACCCCCGCTGACAACTATGCTGAATAAGGAATAACATCAACTTATCTTCATAAGGCGCCAAAAATCAAACACCCCCTCCGACAAATATGTTAAATGAGGAATCACATCAACTTATCTTCGTAAGGGGCCAACAAATCCAAAACCCTCTCTGACAAATATGCTGCATAAGGAATGATATCAACTTGTCTTCATAGGGGATCCACCACCCCCTTTGACAAACATGCTGAATCTGATAATAGCATCAACATATCTTCATAAGGGATGATGATGATGATGATGATGATGATGACGATGACGATGATGATGGTGACGACGACGATGATGATGATGACGATCATGGATCACATATACATCTACATATTGAAAGTCCACCGACATGGCATTTCAAAAATACGCAACCCTTTCGCAATTTCGGCGCGGAGCAACGTCAGGGTTGCACCGAACATGTTTTAACATGGTTTACGTGATGAACATAATTTAACATGATTCAACATGATGTACCATGATTTAAGATGATTTAACCATTAGCAGTGGGGATTATATGATATCGGATCATGCTGGTGATATGGGAATACTCCAAAAAATCACAATGGCGGTGTAATGGGTTTTCGTGGGGACATGATTGGGATATACGGGAAGATATAACCAACGACTAGTATATAACCAACAATATAGTATAACCATAGTCCCATCCCCCATTCATGTCAAACACCCCCTCACAAACCATGGTTTAGTAGGGGATGAAGCCACATATTTGGTACCATAGAAAGAGGGGATGTTTAATATTAGGGGGATGGCATGATCTACGCACTACCTTTTCCTATGGGTTTGTTTGAAAGTAGGGTGCCCCATGCTGGTGAATCATCATTTTCCTATAAACTGGCAAGTGGTATACCCCCTTTTGAGAGAGACCCATGTAAGCAGCCCCCAAAATAGATAGAAAAGCTGGAAACTTGGACATACGAATGAGGCAAATACCATCGAAGTACCATTCTGGAAAAACCATCAATAGGGATTCAACTGGTCGAGTTGAGCCATGGTCAATTGCCCATGTTTTTTGGGGGATGGCCGTCCCATTTGGGGATGCTAAACATCATCCATTTATGCTAATGTTCGGCATGGTTTATACCTGGCTTTACCACATTACATACGAGAATTATATACACATACAGATTTATACAGTATATTATATATATAATATAATTATATGTAAACACAAAATGAAAATACGTACATACATGTGACATCTGAATATATGCACATGCATCCATGAGTTAATATCCGGATATATATATATTACTATTAAATATATGTATGTAATTATATTATATATATATATTTTTTATAATTATATATATATATATATTTAATTTTACATATATATATTATATTATTACTGTTATTATTATTATTATTATTATTTTTATAATATATATATATACTATAATTACATATATACTATAATTAAATATATGTATATTTCAAGTATATATATATATCTATATTATAATTATATATATAATATAACTATATATATAATATAATTATATAATTTTTTATATAAAATATTAAATATATAATAGTATATTTAATTTTATTTTATTTAATATAATATTACCCACAGACGCCGTGTGTTGCCCAGACATTAACATTGAGAATGTCGTGCTGTCGAATATATGATAGGAGAGATTGCAGAAAATACTGCGTATACGCAGTGTTTTCCAGTTTAGGATTCAAAGTTTTCAGACCCTAGGTTTCAGGGTTTAGGGTTTTAGTGTTTGGGGTTTTAGGGTTTGGGGTTTTAGGGTGTACGATGGTTTAGGGTTTTAGGGTTTAGGGTTCGTCGTCTGGGAAATCTCAAAACACTGGCCCTGCGCAGGTGTTTGAGCATGTTGAAGGATAATGTTTAAACATGTTCGCCCCAACCCGGACGTTGCTCCACACTTACAATCGTCATGATGATGATCATCATCATCACATCATCATATCATCACATCATCACATCATCACATTAAAATTCGCCACGTCCTGTGAACAATATGTTGGTTGGGGTAATAACATCAACTTTATCTTCACAGCCACCTGAAGTCAGACGCGGCACAACGTCAGGGTTGCAGCGAACATGTTTAAACTCCACTTGAACCTTCCGGGCAACACACAGCGCCTGGCCGTAATATTATATAATATTATATAAGATATAGTTTTTTATTCTATAATATTATATATAATATAGTTATATATAATATAATTTTTATATATAATAAAATTATATATATATATATATACTAATTATATATATTTACATATAGTCATATATACATATACATATATATACATTATAATTATATATATTCTATTTATATATATATATATATTATAATTATATACATATGTATATATATATATTATACATATACATCTATATTATAATTATATCTATATTTTAATTGTAGATATAGTAGTTATAGCTCACTCTCTCTCTCTCTATCTATATTTATATATATATGATGATGATATATAATCATTATATCTATATATATATATATATATGTAAGTCTATATGATTATATATCGAACCATGTCTATATATATATTTATTAGACAGGCAATAGTACTATTAAGATAAACCAAAACTAAGTGTGTAAATGTCAGGTTTATTTTTCGTTTTATTGACTTTTCCCCTTCACCAAGAAAGGGTACGTGTAAGCTCCACAGAAGGCCGGCCAAGTTGTAGCGATGTGTACGTTGTAAGAACGAAAATGGCGAAAAGCCACTGGGGTTTGGGGTACCCCCAGATCATTTATACCCAGGATTGGTGATTCCTTACATAATCCAATTTCATTATGTTTTTTTGGGTATGATCCCCACTAGAACCATGTTTTTTCCCCGAAACACGGTTGCTTCCAGGAACCAAAGAATCAAGGAAGACAAACCACGTGTTTTTCGCAAACAGATGCCGCACACCTTGTCTTTTTTTCATGTGCCGCAAACAGCTGTTATTTCATGTTATTTAATGCTGTTCTTACTCTCCTGGTAATCAAACATGGCAATAGAAAATCCACCATTTATAGATGATGTTTGCATTAAAACCTCCATTTAGTTCCGGAATTTCCCAACCTGCCATGTTTGATGACACTGGAGGGTAGAATCTTTGAATTCAAAAATGCTGGAGCCATCTCTTGCCTCTTTTTTTTTGCTGGGCGGCAGTCGGAGTCCATGGGGCACCTTTGACCACCGACCAGATTGACATCTTGGTGTCCTGGCAATCGAGTTTGTTGATGATCCCATTGGCTATGGGTCTGAAAATAGGGGACAACACCCAACATTGCCATTGAAACCATGGGGAGAATTGCATGATTAAACGAAACTCTGGGGGCAACTGCGATTTTTGGACTAAGCCATTTGAAAGGGGGGAGAATTTTCACATCCAGAAACAAAGAAATTGATTGACATTGATGCATTTTGACCCAATCAGGTCCCCAGTTTTTTTTTTGCACCTTGAGAGTGAAGGCATTCGTACCACATTTTCCCAGAGGAATAATATATATATATATATAGCAACCCCGAGCCATAGAAAAGTTACGGACACCTGGATATTGTGGGAGAAACACTATGTATGAAATCCTTATATGAAATCCTTAAATAACAGTTCAATCCTTTTTGCGGATCCAGGCAGACCTATAATATATATATATATACATATAAATACATACATATCTGTATATGTATACGTACATATATATATATATATGTATATATATGTATATATATATATATATACGTATATATAGATATACATATACATATATATATATATACACATATATATATACATACATATATATTTATATACATACATGTCGAAACCAACTAACAAGTATGTGTTTTACGGCTGTAATCGATGGCCACCTGCATTGAATCTTGACCCCAGTGATGTTTGGGAGGCTGGTCCAAATCCCTGACACCTTTGGACCATTTGGGAGTAAGAACCATGGTTTCACCATGTTTCACTCGTAATTCATGTCACTTGAACATCAATCCATTGAGACATTTTGGTGAAAAAACTTGTGTTCCATTCAACTTTTCTGAGTTCAGGTGGACCACGCAGTGTTCGACGAGAACCACACCTTGGATTACCAAGCTTTCCTGGACTCCTTCCAAGTGGTTGGGCGCTCCCAGCAGATCGTTTGACTCAACTCCTGTGTTTATGGTGATGAAAATAAGGGGCTACCCTCCGGTGTCACCAAACGTGGCTGGCTGGAAAAGGCTAGTTTCAATATGGCTTTAATGGGAAAACATGGGAAAACCCATCTATAAAGGAGGGATTTTCCATTGCCACGTTTGATGACTGGAGGGTATTTCATGGGAATGAGGATCTAAATACCCAACACTGATAATGGGTTGTGTCTGAAAATGGTGGATTTGTCCAAAGAAACATGGTGATATAAACCAACACCCATGGGAATGTAAAGGGATTAATCTATATACTTGATATGATAAGTTAGGAATGTTTTTGTGATTTTAGGAACTGCGTTGTCGTCAAACATGGTAAAACATGCACATCCCCGCACTAAAAGGAGGTTTCTTCATGGGAACATCATAGAACAAAATTATGTTTTTTTTTCCAGCTAAACATGCTTGACGACAGGAGGGTAACCGTCAAAGAATTGCCCCGCTGTAAACTGAAACATAGATATGGACAATCCAGGCTCTTCGCAGGAAAGGATCTATAAATTGTGGATTATTCCAGATCTAATACGTATATAAATATGTACATATATATATATATATATCACATATATATATATATGAGAGTAGATAGAAGAGAGAAGATCAGAGAAGAGAACATGCACGAAAAGGTAGGAAAGTCGCGAAACACTGTGTTTTATCAATGATTTGTGGCTCCGGAGGGTCGAAAAGTAGGCTCGCTAAAGCGGCGGGTGCGGAGCCATCTGGCCAGATGAGAGATGAAAAATTGCACGCCGTTGTGGCGCAAAGCACATTTCGAAGTCAAAATGTACAAAACGCCTCAGTGTCGGACCACTTTTGGACGTTGAGTGTGTCGTTCCGCGTGGCAGATGCAAGGGATCTTGTCACAAGTGAGCAAAACGTGTGGGTCTTGTAGCATTTTCAACTACAACCACCACTACACCACACTACACTCCAATACACTACACTACAACTACAACTACACCTTCACTACATTACGCTACACTACACTCCACTACACTACATTCAATTACATTCAATTACTTTCAATTACGCTACATTACACTACACTACACTACACTACACTGCACTTTGCTACACTGCACTACACTACACTACACTACATTCCACTACACTACATTACAATACATTACACTCCATTACACTCCACTACACTACATTACACTACATTACACTACACTACACTACACTACATTCCACTACACTACACTACATTCCACTACACACAACCACAACTACAACTACAATTACAACTACAACTACAACTACAACAATACTACATTTACACTACGCTACGCTACACTACACTACACTACACTACGCTACACTAATTACACCACACTGCACTACACGACAGAGAGAGATAGATGGATGCATAGATAGATAGGTGGGTAGGTAGGTAGATGGTCAGAGAAAGAGACAGAAAGAGAGAGAAAGAGAAGAGACCTCAACCACCTTTCGGTCCATCAGTGGCTTCGCTCTGCCATCCGTGATTCACAACAACCAACCTCTCCTATAGGTTTCCTATTTTTGAAACTTCCGCCACCGCCTTGTGCGGTACTACTGGTATATATATATATTATATATTATATATATTATATTATATATATTATATATATATATATTATATTATATATATTATATAATATAAATATATATATATATTATATAATATATATATATAATATATATATATATATTTATATTATATATTATATTATATATATTATATAATATAAATATATATATATATATATATATATATATATATTATATAATATATATAATATATATATATATATTTATATTATATACATTTACATCTCAATTAACAGCAGGGTGCGCGATTCGTGACAAATCCAGCACCGCCCGAGGTGGACATGGGGAGCTCACGTGAAGGACAGGAACTCGCGGCCAGCAAGGGCGCATCCGAGGGCAACGTGAGCGCGGAGTCCTGGAGGCTGTGCAGCCTTTTTTGGGTTTTGACCCCACCAAAAAATGGCCATTTGGATAGGAACATGGGTGAAAATGGTGGGTTAATAATGGTTAATATGGTTTCATACCTTTGATATAGTTTACTATCTGGTAAACTAACATATTGTACTGTATATTACTGTATATGATCATATCAGTATCTGCAAGATTACCAATATTTGAATGATATATGTATCATATGATGGCGTTTGTATAAGTACCCTCTGGTAAACAAACATAGCTATTGAAAATGGCCATAGAAATAGTTGATTTATCCATTAAAAATGGTGATTTTCCATAGTTATCTTAGTTTACCAGAGGGTATCGGAAAAATGATGATCAAACACATGACATTTCAACATTTCAGGATATATATATATATACTATAATAATTAGTTCATTTTCAGACAACCCCGGGGTTAGCTGGGGAGTATATATTTTTTGTCAAAGGCAGGTAAGAAAGTCATGGACGAGCAGAAATTGGGAGTTCACCAACACAGTTGATTTTTTTTTGAACAGGAGCTGGAGTTCAACCAATGACATGGGACTAGAACCAGCCCTTTTAAGGGGATCAAATACTTCTGACATTTGTTTCAAGAGCATGTTTTTGAGCAACCATCGCAGGATATGGACAAGCACCAGGGGATGTTCAGGCAGAAAGATAGGAGGTGATGCTTCTCCGTGAAATAAGTGCTGCAACAAGGAACTAGTTATAAGTCGTAAGTATGTGTATATCTAGCAGCATAAGTATTCAATAGTTTTTTTTCTATATGTATAGCAACTGGTTAGTCAGCGAGTCAGCATAGTTTTTCTGAGTCCGCGAGCTGAGGCCATCAAAAGCACATCACAAAAACCACTTGCTTCAGCAGTTGTCCGTTGAGGTTTGTGTTGGTTCATGTCCCCATATTCGGATCATCATCAACTCACCATCATTGAACAATAATATGATGATCCGAATATGGGTTCACTCATGATATTGATCACTAACAATAATATATGTTTAGTGATCATCATGTTCCCATATCGGGATCTCACCATCATTGAACGCTCAGTTTTTGCTCCACTAAAAGATCCCCAGAATCCCAAAAGCCACTGATAGGTGGGTTGTTAGGGCGTGCTGCTTCGATGTGCGATGTTTTGGTGCTGATATGCTTGGTCCAGGAGGCCCCTCCAATTGTTTGGAAGGCACCAGAATCCCAATTGGAATGGTCATTCCAGATCATATCCCAAGCATCACACATTGGGAATTCGTCATTTTCCAGAGTAAAGCCAGCATTTTCCAATGCCCCAAGGCTCTCCTGAGGCCTGAGAGTGCAAGAAATATGGAGAAGCCAGGAAGATGAGAAGTTTTCAGCAACAGAACCAAGAGCATTATATGGTTTTAGTGACAAAGTGAGGAATCTATCAGTAAAGTTTGGAAAACCGGCAAAACCATGGTTTTTTCTAGGCTTTCGACAGACGTCCAGAGGCAGATGGCAGATCTACAGATCCCAAACGCGCAGCACACAATGGATCCCACCCGCTTTAGCTTTAGCCTTACAGAGGGTGCACGGTTCACCGCGATCATTCGCAGAAAAGGCCCAGTCTGCTGGGGTAAGGGGATCAGTGCCACAGCGATCAGTTTCTGTCGGTGCAAAAACTCAGTGGGTAAGAAAACATCAGTGAATCGCCAGTGAATCGCCATGGAACGGGATTTTTCTGTCATCCACGTGTCATCCACCAGCTATGTCAGGGTTTTGCCACCAAAATTTCAAACAGCTTTGGTGCGCCACAGCCAGACACTGGATGTATTCGATGATCCCCCCAAAAAGGCAATTCTGATGGGGAAATGGGACCAGAATCCTGGAGATGTTCACAAAACTGGACCCAGTTGCACAAGATGGAACAGGAGACGGAGAAATCATTTTTGGTGGCAATCAAAATGGCTGATTTGAATGCCCACTTTTTCGAAAATCAGCACCTACATTTGCAGAAGGATTTCCCAACACAGGAAGGGGCTCCGTTGACATGTTAGATTCGCAAAGGATCGCCCAAAACCGACTCTGGCTCAACAGCGTTTGCTGAAGAACTGTGGTAGAACACTACCGGTAGTATTGGGATCGGGTACTGTACTATGGCAAATACCAAACTCACTAAATTTTCATAAACTCAGCAGTGATTCCTGGGGGTCATGTGTTTTAGTGGCACCTCCACGGCTTTGCAGACCTGCTCTAAAACACTGTGATGTTTGGGGAGGGTCAGGGAAGACCCGCCATGGAATCGGGTTTTCATATCATTGAAGGTCAACCCTTTCCGCTTTGCCAGAATCATGAGCTGAGCGCAATGCACCAGCGTATTTTTGGAATGCACAGCAACCGCTCCAAAAAAAAGTTATGGATTATTGACGGGGAATGTCCCGATTTTGAAGGTTTTTCATTAAGATACCTTTCAATGCAATTTACATAAATTTACTCTGCAACAGAGATTGCCACCAAAAACGCTGATGTTTCTGTAGCAGACACCAGCCAAATGACCAGCCGCGTCAAGATCGGCGAAGTCTAAGGCGAATCGCATTCGCTCGTCGAGTTGGGGAATAGACCTAGTGACCTCGTGTCTTCAATGGTACCTCAACAGTCACTAGGGGCCTTTTTGTCTCAGGGGGTAGGGGGTGAGGCTTAGGAACGTTTAATCATCCTGACATCATGACGTCCATGGATTTCTCTAGCCATGTCATACTGCAAATATTGGAGAAAACCACATGAGTTTGAGGCCTTTATTATCCTTTATTGAGGCTTGTGAAGTATCTCAAGGCCAATGATATTGACCTCACAGGCCACTCAGAATCGATGGTAAGACTGGGAAAGAATCCCAGCCCAGGGGCCCAGACCCAAATGGCCAACCCGACCGATCCAAATGGCTCCGACCGAAGTCACCAAGGAAGCCAGGTTGCAGGATACAAAGATCAAGGATCCGTTGGCGCATCCAACAGAACTTGACCGAACGATGGGGAAAGTCTATGGTTTTCATGTTCTTTTTTGCTGAAACCATACTTTGATGATCTTTTATTCATTGAAATCTGTGAACTTGTAGCTTCTTAACTTATTTCAGATTTCTTGTTGTTATGTGCTGATCAGCCAAGACCTCACAGGCCACACAGAATTAATGCTGGTGAGAATGAGAAAGAATCCCCTAAATGGCCATTTATAGTTGATTTACCCATTAAAGATGGTGATTTTCCATAGCTATGTTAGTTTACCAGAGGGTATTTCAACATTAAAAACCATTTGTGTTTTCTTTATTGCCACGGCCCGTCCGGTCCATCTGCACTCCGTCTGAGAGGCGGAAGTCATGGACGACTTTGATACCAGCTTCGCCACCACGACCCCATGGCATGGCATCCCAGGGTGAAAAATCAGTGATGTCGATATGGCTTTGTTATGGTTTAACCATCAAACTCGGGACTTTATAGCTCTTTATATAGATCAAATGATATATCCATTTCGTGGGTATTAATATGGTTCTAGATAAAATGTCCATATAAGTAACATGAATTTATCCAATGGGATACAACATGATTTTTCAGTAACTTCAACATGATATGCTAAGATCTACGCAATTCTGGGGCGCACTTCTTGAGGATTTGGACGGAGGGATGGATTTCACCAATCCATTTTTGGGGAGTTGACATGATTTACCCTCTGGTTATGACTAACAGTTTGCCATAGTATAGATGGCCCATAGAAATAGATAGTTTACCTATTAAACATGGAAAATCACCATTTTTGAGAACGGTAAACCATCTATTTCTATGGGCCATCTATACCATGGCTATGATGAATAACCAGAGGGTAAGATCTGATTTGACATGATTTAACATGATATCAACATAGGGATTCAACTAATGAACCATGGGTTTGGGATTTGTGTTGGATTTAACATGATGGTAGAGTAACCATTCAAAACGAGGATTGAATATATTGAATGGTGATATGAATGGGATTCAAAATGGGATATATAAGTAATTATAAATTACAATCAAACGTTGATTTTTATGTTTCCCCCGAGTTTCGTAGGGGTGAATATAGCCATTTCTTTGAAATACCCCAGCTGAAACTTTGGCCTGGTTGCTGTAGAACAACTACATGGCCCGTCTATCACAGGCTCCAGCGTGAATTTAAAAAATCACATACACACTGTTTTTTTTTTTAAATACACTTATGATCACAGGTACATTTCTATGTCCATGTCTATGATATCTCACCAAAACGCTGGCAGTGTGCCCCAAAAACCTAAGAATTTTTGCCGCGCGGCGAGTAGCAGTCCACCCAGAGTTCCGAAGTCCAGGTCCTTCACTGGGGATTTTCTGGACATCATGATCCATGATTTATTGGCAGGTGAATGAATAATGCGAGAATCAACTAAATTTACGACAGCATCAACTAAATTTACGAAAGCATCCCATATTATGATATGATTTCCCGGCAAATCCTTGGCAAATCCTTTTCATCCTTTTCCAGCTCGCGTACGGACCCAGGCCTATGTTTTTTTGGAAGAACAGACCCCAAAGTGTTTGATAAGGGATCTTTTGGTTGGGCTAATCAAAGGGGTAAGCATTTTAGAGCATTGGATGCTGATGAGCTGGTTATTTTTGGGATTACCACGAATCCACTTTTGAGCCCAATGACTCGACCAAGAGCCCCATATTCCAGGCTCCCAGGTTCCATCTGAAGAGAGAAGCAGTTCTCTCCATGTATATTTTCTTTTGAAGCGAACGCACCAAACTGACCGACTTCAATGGTTGAAATTTGGGGAGAAGGTTCGTAAATGACCTGCACAATTTTGATGATCACTTGAGTTCCTTAAATTTTCGGGCAAAATGTATGGAATTCTCAAAGAAAAGACTGATTGATAAGGTCTAACTATACCAACTGCCAACCAGCTCTATTCCCTCAAATCTGGTCACCAGTTCTTTCATAGCCCGCCCTGGGAGCGCACTGCTGAGTCTGGGGCTGCGCATTGTGCGGACAGAGGATGGCCGGAGGGCCCTTTTCGCTGCGGGGAAAAACATGGCAAAGTCACAAGCAGAGTAATGTGGGAAACCTGCTATTTTTTGGTTGAATAAACCATCCCATTCACAATAAGGGGGTCATTTTATTGGTACACATGGAAAATCCCATCCACTCAGCTGGTATTCGGCTTCGTCGTCAATCTGATCCAACTGAGTTTGGGGATTGCTGGGATTATTACTAGTGATTGTGGATCATTCCCGAAAATTCCCTGCGTTTAGCACCAGTAAGTTACGGACCCAAGAGTTTCCGACTTAATAAACGTCCGACGTTTAAAAAATATCAGGTCCTATAGATGAAATATCAAATTTTTTTCGTGCAACTTCACGGGCAGGCATCCTTCTGACAGGTTTTGATTTTTGTATCTCAAAGATGATTGCCATCTACCCAAAAGGGCAACGAAGATCGCGCAACACATTTTCCATGTGTTTCCGCCAGGAACAGATGTCCCTGATGATGCAGGTGTTTTTTTTTGGGTGTTTCAAATTGGGGGATTACCCTCTGGTAATGGCTGACATAGCTATTGAAAATGGCCATTAATAGTGGATTTTCCCATTAAAGATTGTGATTTTCAATAGCTATGTTAGTTTACCAGAGGGTAACATTTGGGTAATTAATGACATACCATCTGGTTATTCAACATAGCCATGGAAAATCCCAACCATAAATGGAGGTTTTAATGGGCCATTTTCCATAGCTACGTCAAATAACCAGATGGTATATATTACCCCTTCATAACCGTAGGTTGGTTGGGTAGGGGCTTTATGAGGTGTGAAAGTGTTGATACCTTTTGGGCCTTGATGCCAATTTTGGCTCAAGGACACACTTTTTGGTTTTTCGCCTGCGTGGGTCCATGGCACTTCGGCCTATTGATTGGACTTCCTGGAAGGGTGCGGCGAAGCTGTGGCTCACCACCCATCCAGGGTTCAATCATAGGGAGGTCTCGCGCGAGCAGCGGCTGGAGAGCTTCGAGCTGCGCGCGGCCTTTGCGGTGGCGACTGCGGCTGCCCATCGCGAGCACAGAGGCCTGGGAGCCCTGCCTTGCGATAGGTGCGGCGTGTGGACGCACTGCTGGTGCGAAGCTTGCCAGCGGCCTGCGACGGCTATCTGCACTGTGTGCGATGCCGCGGAGGCGATCTGCCACGCCTGTGAGCGTGCCGGAAAGTCCTGGCGAAGCGCCCGAGCCGCGTACGAAGCGGCGACGCCGCAGGAAGAGGAGATCGTCGAGATCTCCGGGTTCCATGATGCAGGGGGAGTCTTCCAGACCATTGACCCCCCGCTCCGGATCCCCCTCAGGGAGGTCCTCTCGGCCGATGGCGAGCCGGACGCGGCCGCCATCACCCGCCGTGCCGCCGCGCACGGCCAAAGAGGTGACGGCCGGTATGGCGCCTGAGGTGGTGGACATCCTGCTGGATCTCCCCCTCCCCCTCCTTGCACGCCTGGGCGCTGAAGGAGTGGAGACGGCGGCAGATGTAGTAGGGTTGTACCCCAATGTGGACCTGTTCATGGATGCCCTGCATGCCGTGATGGGGACACGTGTGGATGCCGACCTTAGCATGGATGTGGCGTGCACTTATGCTCGGGTTCATGGGCTGGCCCGTAAGACAAAGAAGCACGCAGTTGAGCTCGTAGTAGCCGAGCGGCAGTCTGTGTACCCCTCGGGTGCTGCTGAGCGCGGTGGAAGCCGTGAAGCGGCCGCTAGCAGCCGCGGAATGAAGCCCCTGGTGGGCCTTGGGACAGGCTCGGCTGGATCCACTGTGGTGTCTGGGCCTGGTCCTGCACCGGCCAGCACCAAAGCAGACGTAGCCAAGCAGACTAAGTTGGACCTCCTTTTCCACCTGCTGGTTGACTACGTTTTAGACTTGCAGGAGCTGGGCATCGATACTGCCCTCCTGGCTGACCCGCTGGGTCGCACAAAGGTCCGTGAGACTGTGCTCCACGGGGCCCAGAGATTGTCGACCCAGAGGCTTGGTGCTTTGATCAGCAGCTTCAAGAGGTGGGTGAAGTTTTGTGAGGAGAGGCAGTGGGCGCCTAACGCACCGAAGCCGTTCCAGTTGGCCACTTACCTGCACTGTGTCAGTCAGGGGGGGCCCACAGTGGCATCGTCGATGCATGCAGCCTTGAAGTGGTTTGCAGACCAGGCCGGTGCGGCACTGGATCTGTCGCACCCCATGGTGGCCCCTTACCGCTTCCACGCTGTGACCCACACAGCGAGGCAGGCCCCGGAGCTTCAGCCCTGGGAGCTGATCAACTTGGTTTGCCTCTTCGGCCGTGCCAAGGGCAACCATAAGCTCCTGTTGGCCTGGGTGGTGATGGCGGCGATCTCTTGCGTCCGCTGGGAACACCTGCAGCGCTCGAGTTTCGTGGCTGGCCACACCAAGTGGATCGAATTCCACTGCCAGCAAGGCAAAGCTCGGAAGAAGGGAGCCAGGCCAGCGTATGGATGGGCTCTACCAGAATGGTGCTGGGAAGGCCATGGTGTTGGCCGCATCCTCGAGGATTTTTACCGCCATGAAGTGCTGGCCACGGCGGGTTTCCTGGTACCAGCATTGCAGCTGGCTGCGGACAACCTTTGGGAAGTCACAGAGACTACCCCGCTGGTCCTTGGCAAGCCGATGTCCAGGGGACGCTTCCTGGAAATCTTCCGGGGTGCCCTCATGCAGTGTGGTTTGGATACCCACTCAGCGAAGGGGGCGACCTTTAACCGGCTGAGGCGTTTCCTGCCTACGCTGGGTAATGTGCTGGAGATTTCCGATGTGGATGCGCAAGCAGTGGGTAACTGGACTGAGGTCCCACAGGGAGGTGGCCTTACTGCACCGAGACCCAAGGCTGCCATGACGATGGGCCGCCACTACGGGGGCCATAAGGTGCTGCGCTCGGCGGTGGTCAAGGTGCGCCTCCTGGAGCGCTTCCTGGAGCTGTGGAAGTTGCAACGGCAGCATGTGTCCCTCACTGCCGAGGGCCTGCTGCCTGTTGACTCCTGGCGTTGGCCTGACTTGCAGGCGTTGCACCGGCAGACTCCTTGGTCAGCAGCCGATCCAGACCTGTCCGCTGCTATCACGGATGCGGCGGCCCCGGCGCCTGAGCAACCAGGTGAGGAGCAGCCGGACGACCAGGCCGCTACCCTTGAGGAGCCGGCAGGGGAGCCAGAGGCGGCATCAGGTGCCTCAGGCGATGACAGCAGTTCGGCCTCTGACATCTCCGCCGATGCGGATGACCTGGTGGGCATTTTGCCGGACCCTACAGCAGCAGCTGAAATCAAGTGGTTTCGCCAGGGCACCAGGACGCACCTGGTGAGCGACACATCAGAGAGTGACCGGCTGATCCCGTATTGCCGAGACAAGCCGTTTGACCAGGATCCTGCCCGACGGGGCGAGGGCTTCGTGCGTGGGGGGCTTGAGTGCATCTGCAAGCGATGTCTCAGCCGTATGCCACGGGGGCTCTACCTGAGTCTGGCGGAGCACTGCGGCTGGTCCTCCTGAGTCCTGAGTAGCTGCGGGCCCGTACTCTAACTAATTTGTGTGTGCCAAAAAGGGCGCGAGCTGCCGGCAGTTTCACCCTGTTTTTCATGTCAGTGTGGTTTGTTTTGTCACGCCTAATAGGCCCTCAGGCTGTAACTGGTGGACAGGCAACCCCCTGTCGGTCTCCAGAGGCGCAGCCGTCGGTTGTGCCTGTGCAAACTCTATGCTTTGGAGTTTTGGACCCAAGCTAGTAGTGTGCCAGCCCACCAGCGCGCGCCATGAGCCGAGTCGATGTGCTGGCGGATGACCGCGGCCTCCAGGGATGCTTCAAGGTGGCAAACATCCAGCAAGAATGGGCGCAGGACTTTATCACCAAGCACAAGTTGGTCACCCTGGACGACTATATCTACTCGGTTGCCCATGATACATGGGAAAAGGGTGTGGAAACCTTGGTGTCCCAGGTTCCCACCCTCCGGGACAACATGATCGCGCTAGCGCGGTTTCGTAGCGCTTTTGACATTGGCCGAGAAGCCTTGCGCCAGGCTGCAGCGCCAGCAACGAAGAGTGCAGATTTGGACGAGCCTCTGCCAGAGGCGACTATGAAGTCTCTCAACCAGGATTGGGCTCGCCGGTACAGTTTGCAGCTGGATCCGTCGTTGGAGCCCTGTGGGGCCCTCCGGTCCAGGCTCTACCGAGAGTTTCGGAAAGGCCAGCTCACGGTCATTGAGGCTCGCAAAGTCAAGAGCGTCATCACAGTGGCCCAGCCCAAGACACAAGGGTCGGTTACTCTGGGAGATAACGTCCACTTGGAATTTGAGAAGGAGGAGGGTATCCCGATCAAGAGCTGTGTGGAATATTACCTGCAGATGCGGGTGCTTGCTCATGCTTTGGCATGGGCGGGCAACTACCAGGTGGATTATGAAGGTGGGCGCCACTGGATGATGGACCTTTCCACCGTGCTGGGCTATGTGGATGTCGCCTTGCGTAATTCTATTGAATTCGCAGGTGGGTCCATGTTGTGGCTGCAAAGAAACGACGTGTTGACACGGGGCAAGCTGGCGACCTATGTCAACAGAGGCATGCCAGGTTCTGTGGCCATGAAACAGGCCTTGCATGAGACGCACTTGGAGTGGCGGTCTCCCTTGGCTGCTCCGCTGGTGGTGTCCTCTGGGTCTGGGTCCCCAGGGACCACCAAGCGGAAGCAAGAAAGCAGCCCTTTGCCTGTGGGTGAGGCACCGACCAAGCGGCCGCGCACCTTGAAGGCAGATCGGTGGGCCACAGTGAGCATGATCAAGGGCGGTAAGCGATTGTGCAAGCCGTACAACGACGGCAGGGGGTGCAGCAACTCGCAGTGTGATCAGATGCATGCCTGCGATGTGAAACTGCCCAACGGAAAGCCTTGCTTGAGTCGGGCACACACCCGGGTCCAGCATGAGGAATGACTCCTTTCCCCCGGGAGGTGTGCTACCCCCGGGGACCCATGTCTGGAGATAGCTGCTGCGCTGCCTGCCACGCCTGTTGGACGGGTGGTCTCACTCAGGGACCCCCTGGTGGACCCCCTCCAGCGACCAGTTGACAGAGTGAGTGCTGACCGCCTCCGGGCGGCAAAGCCAGTGGCATGGCGAGGTTTGGGGGATCTGCCCCAGTTCACGTGGGCCAAGCCGCTTGTGGGCTCATGGTTGGTGATCGACCTTTGGGCTGGCTTCAGTGGGCTGTGTGTGGCCCTCCTTGCGATGGGGGTGCGTTTTCACGCAGTGGCTGCGGAAAACGACACTTTCCCTGCCCAGGTGGCGGAACAGATCATGCCGCAGGTGGTTGCTGTTGACGCGGTGGAAACTGTGACAGGGACCATGTTCCGTCCGTTTCTCCAACGTCGGCAAGTCAGAGGCATCATTTTAGGCGGAGGTTCCCCCTGCCAGGGCAACTCTATTTTGAACACAGGCCGAAAAGGGTTGGCTGATACCCGAAGTCAACAACCTCAAGAGTTGGTACGCATCCGCCAGGAGCTGCAAGACCTCCCAGAATGTGCGACCCTGGAGATTGTCACGTTTTTGGAAAACGTGGCCTCTATGCCCCGCGAAGTCATGGACCAGTATACAGCATGGATGGGCTTCCCACCTATCCTCATCGACGCGGGCGCTTGCGGATGGGTGCAACGGCGCCGGCTGCTGTGGTTAGGCCAGGGTCGCTGCGGGGTGTCACCTCGTTGCACCCCCCCCGACGGCTGGGTATGGGTCGAGTCTGGGACCGATCCCCCCGAGCTGCGCTGGAAGGGACCCAAGCCAATCCCGGCCAAGGTTCATTTTGATCAGAGTTTTGGTCCCCTTTTTGATGCTGCGGAAGTAGTTAAGGCGGCGGGACAAGGGGCTATGCATCCGTTCACCAGGGAGTTTTGGCACCCCTGTGATCGGGTCAAGCTGGTTCCGCCAGAGGCGGCTGCTAGATTCTATCAAGATGAGAGGCGGTTGCCCCCCTCGGCCTACACAGCAGAGAGTTTGCTTTGGCGCAAGGATGAGTGGCGTCAGCCGGGGCCTGAGGAGCGTGCCCAGATGATGGGGTTTCCTGCGCAGTGCCTTCAGGCCGTTCAGGGACCAGCGGCGGTGCGTCGCCAACGCCAAAACAGTATGCTTGGCAACGGTTTCCACCTGCCGATGATTGTGGCACTTTTCTGCCTGCTTCCAGGTGTGTTGAGTATGAAGGTACCGCGACCGTTGTTTGACCTCGCGGAGCGCAAATTGCAGGAGCGTTTGGCGGGTACGGTATGGGAACCAGGCCGCTTGCAGGTGTTCCCTGGTTTGCTTTCGAGTGACCAGGTGGTGCAATCCATGCAGCGGACAGTCTTCGGATCCTTGCCAATCTCTGCAAATGTGTGGCAGTTGACAGCCACCCGGTTGGCTCCCTTGCCAGTGTGGCAACTGCAAGCCTATACTGCGTGGGCAGTCGGCCGAGGCGCATCATGTGATCAATTAGGGCCCACCCCGCTGACAACGAGCCATCGGACAGCTCTGTTTGCAGGACTGACCGGGCAGCGCTACCCGGGCAATTCCCGGAAAGGCCTGGACCATTTGCTGCCGCCAGGCGTCGGCAAGGAGGAGCATATCAAACAGGCTGTGGGCCTGCCATCGCCCTTTCGCCTTCGCGAGTGGCCTGAGCAAGATGTGGACTTCGTTCTCCACGCCATTGCAACATGGCAGCAGGCACTGATCGGGTACTCTGAGCAATGCCGCCAGGTATTTCGACAGGTCTGCACAGCGCTGCTGCCATTGGATGATGAGTTGCGCAAATTCAGGGTGCACAGTGCAGTGAAAGTGGCCGCTGGGAAAAGGCCTGCCGTTTTGGCGTTCTTGACTGTGATCCTGCGATGGCCCGACTTGCAGCAACCTTTGCAGATGTTGCAGGGCTATCCTATTGTTGGGGCACTGGAGCCTAGTGGAGTCTTCCGATCCATTACTGCTCGTGAAGCTTTGCCAAAAGAGGAGTGGTTGGGGGATGCAGCTGTGGCAGCTGTGGAGAGGATTGAGAGCTCTCGCCCTCCGCGGTTTGCCGAGCGCATCTATGCTGCCACAGTTCTTGAGCAACAAAAGCAATTTTGCTCGCCTTTCCTTACCAAGCGCTGCATGGATGAGCGTTTTGGCGTAGGACAGTGGCGACCGCTGCAACGTTTCTTGATTGTGCAGCCGGATGGGAAGGAAAGAGTCATTGACAATGCACGCAAGACTCTCCACAATAGTTCAACGGAGATGATGGAAACGATTTACACAGTGCACTTGGACTTCATCCCGGCCGTTATCAAGCAACTGGCGCACCGGCTTCAGGTGACTAGCCCAGGGGATTGGAGTGTCTTCCACCCCTGGGCGCATTTTCGCCTGGGAACGGATGATCTGCCGGATGCATATCGTGGTCTGCCCGTGTGCCCAGAACATTTGCCATACTCTGCTGTGGCAGTCTGGGTACCCCAGCAGGGATGGCGTTACACTATTTTGTGGGGACTGGCCTTTGGACTCGAAAGTGCTGTAGTCTCTTTCAACCGGCTGCCTCAGCTGGGAATTGCCGCTACTAGAAGATGCCTCTATGGTCTTGCAGCAGCTTATTTTGATGACGAGTTGGCCGTCGAAGTGGTGGCAGCAGCCGATATTTCACAACAAGCCTTGCGGCTCTTGTTTACTAGTATTGGCGCTCCGCCCCAGAAAGCCAAGGGATTTGCGCCTTCACCAGATCGCCACTACCTGGGAGCCGCGATTCACTTGGGCTCTGTGATGACAACGGGTTGTGTCCGTATCCAGCCAAAATTCGCGACGGTGGCCAAAGTTGCTGGTCGTCTCCGAGTGGCCATTGCCAACCGTTGTCTTACCAAAGAGGAAGCTGGCAAGCTCCGGGGCGACATCACTTGGATGTTTTCTTTGGCGGCGGGGCACATGGGCCGTATCGCCCAGCCTGTCCTGGCCAAGTGCAGCAGTGATGGCCCGACGCCAATGGATGATGAAGATGTTGTTACCTTGCAGGTGCTGCTGCGCATTGTCCTGGACTGTCAGCCTCGCGACGTCCAGGTGTGCGGTGTGGATAAGGTGCCTTTGGTTATCTACTCCGATGCCTCTTTTGAGCAAGGAGTCCTACGCCTGGGGTGGGTAGTGATGTGTCCGGGTACCTCCTACCAACCTCAGGGGGGGACCTGTGAGGTGCCACCAGAGGTCATAGATAGCTGGGTGCCTCGTCGCCACCAGCACTTTGATCCGCTGTGTCTCATCTCAGTGTGATGCCCACGAGATAGCACAGTTCTCGCACTATCTGCTGAACAGTTTGGACGCCCGGGCGTGGTTTGAATGGATTGACTCCGAGTCTAATCCTAGTGATGGGCTGAGCAGATTAGGATTAGCAGATGAGTGGACACAGGCCCAGGGCTGGTCCCTCACCTCTTACACTTTTCCTCCTGGCCTCAGCCGCGGAGAATTTCTTCAGTCCCTTCCGGTTAGCGTGGCTTAGTGAACAGTGGGTGATTTGAACAGTGGGTATGTGTTTGGACTCATGGTAGTCTAACCATACATGTGTTTAGACTGTTGAGTCTAACCATATTCCAGATGTGTGTGGTATAACCCCCCATCTGTGTTTTGACCCATTGTTATTTGATAACAATGAGGGGTTCACTACCATGCCGCTACTGGAGGGCTGGTATCTTCTCACGTGCAGCGTACCAGTTGAAGGAAAGTGAAAAGAGTGCTGCAGAAGGGTTCACACTTTCTATATATAATTATATATATATATACCGTAGCGCTTTTGAATTATTGGCTTTGTACTCGTCTGTAAAATGCAAGCTTTTCTGGATTTAGTTATGTTCATGAATCTCATAGAACGCGGAAAAGGGATCCAGCCAGTGGTAGCTGGCTACATCTCGAAAAGCTGAAGGTAGGGAATCTGGCAAAATCTAAATATTTTGCGCCCTCACTGCGTTAGTTCGGTGTTGGTGATTCCTGAACTCAGCATGCAAGAAATGGACAGATGATATCGATATGATGAGACAAAACTGTCAAAAGTGATTCATCTGCTGTGCTGTTGGTGATACTGTAGACCTCAAATGTATTAAAATGTGATGATCTTTTCTGCAATGCATTTTCACTTGTCGATATACAAAGGTTGCTTGCCTTTCTACTTAACCTTTCACTAACCTTTCACTAGCACTTGAAGGAAACCCTTGCGTTTGAGTTTCCTCAACTTCACTCTCCAAATCTCACCGCGCCAGCGTTTCACGGCCTACGTCATCGAAATCAATGACTTCGGAAAAGTGACCGAGGCCTGGACCCCTGGCCCCCCCTGGGCCCCCCCTGGGGCTGCTTTTCGGCGATCAAAATTGCAGGCCTTGGGGATAGACCTGGGATATATGAGGATTATGGGGATATACTGCAGGTTCATATTGAAGCATCAAACATTTTGGGATATTTTTCACTGGTTGGTCCTGTCAACATACTTCAAGCAGCAAATGCAGACCGTACAAATGGACACATACTTTTTCAGGACTACCAAAGCCTAGCTTTCAGTGTGAGGTCGTTTAGCATCCCCTCCGAAATCCGCAGTGCAACATTCAAAACACCAGTCTTCACTCTTCACATATATGCAGTCAGTATGAGATTAGAGAGTGCTCCACAAAGAACAAGTGACAACTGATAATAGACAAACAGCTATTAGTTCGCAGTAAAAGCCACGAGAAGATCTCGATGAATTTCGGCAGGCTCTGTTTCCCAATGGTGGGTTGATGTCCGTCATTCGGAGATGGGAAACCCCACCGAAGACTTCCATCAGGTGGCACACCGCTACAGCGATTTTGAGACGCTGCACAAGGACCGATGGGTTTCCACCCACCGGAATCTGGGGCAACCTGACCTGCCATCTGTGTTTGTTTAGACGGTCAACTATCATCAAGGTCAGGGTTGCAGGAGCCATACATGACAGTGCTTAGCAGCAGATCTATAGGAAAGCCAGGTGTTTGGTTTCGAACACCATTGGGTTTTAGCATGCGTGTAAAATTGCTGGTTCCTCAAGCCAGTGGCCAGCGAATTTTCCACCCCCAATTGGGTCTCAGCTGACTTTGAGATGGATGCGTAATGAAGACATGGATTGTTTTGTTTCCATCTTAGCATCCAGTAAACTAACACTTTGCTATAGAAAATAACCATGTTTAATAGGCAAATCATCTAACTTTATTGTCATATTCCATAGCTATGTTAGTTTACCGGAAGGTAACTTCAGTGGGATAAGTATCCCTGGTCCGAGAACTTTCGCCATGGGGATTGGTGGCAACTTTGAAAGGGGGTTTGAGCAACCACAGATGCGAATGCCAACCAATCAATCATTGGATGTCGATTATAGATAATTACACAATATATATATATATATATACAAATTGCGTGTATATGTATATATATATATATATGTATATGCTCACGCTCCCCATGATCTACCTGTAGGCTGCGTTTTCACTGTTTACATGTGAATTTCAATACAAGTTCAATGTGATATCTATATATATATATATATACATATTATGTGTATGTATATAATCATACACACACACATATATATATATACAGATAATCCAATGGTAGAATAATCTAAAACCCTAACTAAGCATCAACAGATGGTATATATTGTTTGGCCAACACTCATTGCAGTGGTTCACAACAGATACGGAGTGCAAAAATGCACGTTCAGTTCATCACAGCACCATGGGTGAAGTCCTTTATTTTGAAACAAATTCATCTCCGTTCCATGGTTTGTTACACAAGATATCCCTATATATACCATCTGGTTATTTAACATAGCCATGGAAAATCACCATTTTTAGTAGGTAAACCCAGGTAAACCATCTATAAATGGTCCATTTTCCATGGCTATGTTAAATAACCAGAGGGTATTCTAAACTAATATCCCTAGCCTATGAATAGAAATTATGGTAGATGGGATAGGATGGGATAGGATGGGATAGGATTCATAGTTGCTTGACCCATATTGCCATGTGGATATTATCCCCCATGTTGGAAGGTTCCCCTCATGTGGATATGATGACATTATTAATATGACACCCTCACGGCGACATCACTGGAAAAGGAAAGTTAGGATTGGGCGAATCATCCCCAGCCATGACCGCCCTTTTCAGGTTGGTGAATTATTTATCCAGATGTTTTTTTTGGGTTTAACCATGTTTAACCATGTTTAATCATCAAAAAATCAGATGATGTGAATGTGATTGATGGTTGGTTGATCATTAGTTCGAGGGGTGATACGGGGGCGATTTTTGTGATCAGATATTAACCATCAAGTATCCCAACAAATATCTCGGCAATGTTGGTAATAGCAGTATCCCCCAGATGATCATATCCCACATGATCCTAGATTTTAGATTTATACTTATGACTTTTAGAGATTCAAACAGTATGGAATACTCACAACACTGCTACTTTGGAATACCATGTGAGTGCTCAAAACCTGAGGTGCCTGATGATTAGAGGTATTAGAGCATCCGTCAGCTATCATATCCCCCAGTTGGAACATATAGTTACAAATTTAGATAGAATCATGAAGAAGTACGTATCCCAAAATCACTACATATATCTATTCTGAATAATGACATGATCATATATATACATATATATATATATGCACTAATATTTAATGATAATAGATGATCTTCCCAGCTATAAACCTCCATTTCGTTCATTCATTTCCGGCAATGTTGCACCGCAGGCGCTGTTGATGGAGAATCCAGGGCTCCAACTGCCGCCACTCCCACCGAAGGCCGTGGACCGCTGGGAGAAAATTGTTCAGGGCGAATTTCACCTGCAAAATGATGATTTCAGCGAGAAATATGGGCGATTTCACCATGGTAAATCAATTAGAACATTGTTTTTTTTGACATTTTTTATAGCTGATATTTCTCCACTTTTTGCTGGGTGGGAAGAACACTTTTTTTTTTCCGAATGTTTCTCCCGATTTATCATTTTTTCTGCACATTGATTTAGCCTATATTTCTCCGGTTTGGTGGGTTGAACAGGTGATTTGAAACGATGGATGTTTTATCCGGATGGAACATCTCCGGATGGAACATACGGAACTGTTCTTTCTGATCTTTGGAGATACCCTCTGGTAAACATACAACAAACTATAGATGGCCATTTTCAATATCTATGTTAAATTACCAGAGGGTAAGTTACTAGACTTAGGTAATCAGAGTTAGTGAGTCCGAAAGCTAAACTGTCTTGGATGACCATCCGTGAACTGCAGGTTTTGTCAATACCTGAAACTCAACCAGATTCCCGTTCATAGTCAGTTGTCTTCCCCATACCCCTCATGGAGCACTCTTATTTCGAGCCAGGTGCTATCAACAATCAACAAACATCTAGAACATTTTATACACATATCACATTATATCACCAGTGTCCCAGGTAACTTATCTGTTATCACATATCTCACATTATATTTCAATCTCACATTATATCGCCATTTTATACACTTATCACATTATACACATACACATATCACATATCTCATATCTCACCGTTTTTTTTACTCAGTCATAGCTACGTTAGCTACGTTTGACAGGGAGCAGACGGCACGGATGCAGCGGTGATCGCTGCGCGCAAGGCTTGGGTGTTCACGATGCAAAACACCCGGAGGATCCGTAGCTTCCAAAGGGTCACCAACCAATTGGATACCCTCTGGTTATGTCAAAATAGCTATTGAAAATGGCCATAAAAATAGTGAGTTTTCCCATTAAAAATGATGATTTTCCATAGTTACGTTAGTTTACCAGAGGGTATGCAAAATTTGCCATCGAAGTAGCCAGTAATTTGGCGATATGCAAAACTCCCAGAGGTTTATAGGAAAAGGATCGGCTTTATTCGACTTTGATGTATTTTGTTCGTTTCTTTTTAATTTCTATGTCTATATAACAATCCCCCCAAAAAGGATGAACTTTTTTTTTCTCCCCTGAAAAAAGATGAACATTTTTTTCTCCCCTGATATCTATAGTAATCCCCATCTATAGAAAAGCAAATTAACATAACCTAATCTAATCTCTCTATATATATAGTCTATAGTTATTTAGTACTCATATTTTTTACAATAGAACTAAAGATACATAAGATAATGAGTACTAAACATACAATGGTACTCATAGTACTAACATAAATGATGTGCTCTATATGACCATCTATAGCAACCCCTCCCAAAAAAAAGGGTACTTTCTCGGTGAACTCGATGCACTCCACCAGGTTGAGCTGGAGCAGTTACTCCGCGGAATGTTACAGAACGTGGAGGCGCGCCCGTGCTGGGCTGGTGCTGCGCCCGTTAGGGCCGGAGCTTTCCCCCGGGATTTGCGCCAGTTGCTTTTTTTGGGATGGAAAAATCAACTGAATATCTCTGATCTGGTGGTATTACGAAGTATTTTTTTTCGAGTTGGTGTTTTGCAAAGATGTTCTATTGGAAAACCATAGACATGGGATGATGATGGATGATGATCCCCAATGACTTTCGCAGATTTTTTAGGGGGTTGAAACAAGCAGCCAGCTGGGAGTGATCTGGAGAATCTGTGGATTTTGATCATGATTCTGGGGCTGCCCAACTCTTCAAAAAAAAACAGCCATTGAGTACGCTAAGCATATGCATGAACAAGCCAAACATGAATGGGTTCAGGTACTGGGGTATATTCACATTGCTCACCTCCCATCATTTGATGGGGGATGCAGTGAACATTTGATCCTGCAAGTTTGAACACGTTGGAAGCCTGTAGGAACTGGCTATGGTCCCATGGGTTTTTTAATTCCCAAGCACTCGTATTCATATGAAGTTTTATATAAGTTTATATAACATTATATAACTTATATAACCCATATATATATATATATACATACAGTAAACCTTCTGGGTTGTTGTAACATGCTATAACCTTCACCCATGCCTAACTTTTGGAGACTCTTCAAAAATCATATTCACCCCGCTTCGCGTGGGGTGGCCGCCCACACCGCATGTTTATTTCGGTCCGTGAGAGGGGCTAAGGGTGGTTTCCCCCCGTGGGGGCTCCCCAAGCTAGGGAATTTTCACTTTTCCCCCCCGTGGGGGCTCCCCAAGCTAGGGAATTTTCACTTTTCCCCCCCGTGGGGGCTCCTCAAGCTAGGGAATTTTCACTTTTCCCCCCCGTGGGGGCTCCCCAAGCTAGGGAATTTTCACTTTTCCCCCCCGTGGGGGCTCCCCAAGCTAGGGAATTTTCACTTTTCCCCCCCGTGGGGGCTTCCCAAGCTAGGGAATTTTCACTTTTCCCCGCCGTGACAGCTTCCCAAGCTATGGAATTTTCACTTTTCCCTCCCTTGGAGGCTCTCCAAGCTGCGGAATTTCAAATAGCTAGACAACGACGCCTAGATAGTCCCCCAAATCCCGTGTTCTTTGAATGTGTTTCCATGTTTTTGCAATGGTTTCCTTCAAAGCACGGTACTTTACACTTTTGTCGCCATAAAACCGGTCGAAAACATCATGTTCGACAATGCTTCCAATTCCCTTATCTCCCCAACCGTTGAAAATACCGCTATTTACAGTGTTTTCTTCAATTTTTCCATGTTCCAATGCCGGTAGCCAACTCCAACATATATATAAGAAATCCTTCCAAAACATTGTTTTTGACAGTGTTTTTCCAATGTTTCCAGTCAAACAGACGGTAATTTACACGTTTTTTGCCATAAAGGCAGTAAATCCTTCCAAAACATTGCTTTTGACAGTGTTTTTGTAATGTTTCCAGTCAAGCATACGGTAATTTACACGTTTTTTGCTATAACGTCAGTCCAAAACACTTGTTTTTGCAGTGTTTTCAATGCTCTGGCATCCAAAAACCCTGCAAAATCTTGCTATGTACAATGTTTTTTTCATTTTTGGCCGTTTTTCCATTGCCGGAAAGCTACCAAAATGACCCAAAATTCCATTTCAATACCCTCTTGCGCTCAGACACCCAAAAATCCTCGAAAAATGTCGAAAACACCACCGTATTCTGGTCTCGGTGCGAAATCGTTTTTGGCCCCCCCCCCCAGCTAAAGCTGATATAGCGACTGCTATATTAACAAATGTCATTGAGCATTTAGTGTTGCTGTTTTGCCCCCCAATAAGCACGCCTTCACCGCCAAAGCGGTGTGGGCGGATTTTCTAATAAAGATTATGATCCAGATACGGTCACCAGTGAACAAACACCAGAGCCAGGTGTTGATGGAGAGAAGTTTGCATTTGTGATCCTGCCATGTTTGATGGTGAAACATTTGACAAATGAAATTGGCTGGTGAAATGTGGTTAAATTAAATCTATTGAATTCACCCTTGAAAGCAAGCCAGTGAATGTTGCGAAAAAAAACACCGGGACGCTAACAATGAACAGGCTGGGTGCAACCTGCTGATCATCTAAGAGAACGGGTCAAAAGCTTCAAGTACACAACAATAGATGCACATAGCCGATGACATAGCATTCAATTGCCGGGTTTGTGTTAAACAAATGGAAACAAAAGTAATATCATCAAACGTATTTCGATCCCTTTCGGATCACATCCACAGAGTTTCTCGAGCCGGTGATGGCCAGTTGGAAATTCTTAGAGCTGGGCAATCCCACGGTCATTGCCGGGCGCTTCGTGATGGCGCCAAGGTTGGGGCCATGGCCAGAAAAATCGGGTGAAATTTCATGAGGAACGATGATTTTCCCCATGAACACATGTTAAGATGCTCACTTGGGGGATATTAAAATATATTAAATCATCATTTTCAATCATATTAGATTGTAGAGGTAAAGAATTTAATATGTGTGTCAGGGTCATAGCACATCAGTTATTGTCATCAATTTCGGGACGCTTTTGTGGTTCGTTTTTTTTTTCCATTTGAAAATACGGTGGTTCGCCGGGCCGGATTTGGAGGATTTGGAGCTGCCAAAGCTGCCGTTTTCAAATGTCTTGTGGGTGAACGGGCTTCATGGGGCTTTTCATAGTCATGGGGATACCGGGATACCCCAAAAATGGATGGCTTATTTCATGGAAAATCCATCTATAAATGGATGATAACTCGGGGTAGCCCTATGACTTAGGAAACCTCCATATGGCTCAAGTTTTGCAGCCAAACAAGGAATTGATTGTGACCCTTGGAGCCTAAAGATATCTAACGACTGTAGACTATGGGCTTTGTCTGAAACATTTGTGTACGGCAAAATCTGCATGGCTTTTATCATTTTCCCATTCACATTGCCATAAGTTGGGCGTACATCTCCCATTTTCAGATGGTTACATCCCCATTTTGGCTGCTTAGATCCCCCAGTTTCAGGCAAAATCTACAGCAATCCCCTTTTCCTGCAGGGAAAATCATGGTTTTCTTCAAACCTTTCCTGAAATCGATCCATTCTATTTTTTGGCAAACCCTGATAGCTGCAGTCTGCTGCAGTGCTGCACCTTTTGCGCAGGGCCCGTCCCAGCGTCTTCAAGACTTTGGCAAAGTTGAACGACGAAAAATACCGCGACGACGTGTGAGCCGCCACGTCTAAGCAGCTGTGACGCGGCCATGGGGCATCATGAGGCCGTCAAAATTCACACCCATTCTAGCAGAGATGGACCGTAAAAGATCCAATTGTGCAGTAATGTTACGTAATGTTTGTAAAACAATGAATAAACAATGAATAAACCAGCCATTGGCAAACAAATCTGATTAGTGATTACAATGTTTATATTAATCACAATGATTAGTAAACCATTGGACATTAAAGTATATCAAATTGGATGGTTGAGAAACCACTCGCCGTGTGAGGTACCGTTTGGGTCATGTGGCCGTGACGGACTTGCTCATAGAGGTGCCCCCCGGGGGTCCAGGACCTACATGGGAAGTCGTTAATAACCCATATAATTATATATGATTATATATAATTATATAATTATATAATATGGTATATGATTTGATATATAATATAATACACTATAATATAATATAATATAATATAATATAATATATAATATAATATAATATATAATAATAATATATATATACATATATGTATATGTATATGTATGAATGGATATGTGTATATATATATATGCACACACATATATACAATAATGATAATAATAATAATATAATTTATCATCTATTAGCTGTGCATATGTCACATCAGCTGGGTATGTCACATTAGCGGTATGCTGTTTATCACACCTTACCGCATTTTCGGACACACTTGCATCCATTGTTCTTTGTATCAATCCCTTTTTGATGATTATGAATATATCATGGAAATATCCCATTGCATCCCATGAAACCCTTGTTTTTTGGCTTGTCTGAAAATGGTGTGTGTCCAAAATTCGATTTCCGACACACCCCATATTGATGAAGTATTGTTGGTCACATTATATCCCAGTATATATTCCCATCATGGATGGTTGTATTCCTCTTAAATGCCCATATCTCCCAGGAAAAAAGGATATTGACCACTAATCACAAATCCCATCCCCCATTCATATTAGTTGTGCCGGCATTGTACGGTCCTATATAGATATGTGGTTTCATACCATACACTGCACTATGGTTTACGGGGGGGTGTAAGTCATATTAGGCTGAAGGGATCAATGAATTACAGTTAGTTCATGTTAGTTTTAGAAACCAGGTTTACCACATTCATTATAACTTATATTCCCATTCATATCCCATTCGTATCCCATCAAAATCATCATTTTTCATCATTTTTCATGCTTAAACCATCAAAAATCATCATTTTTCATCATTTTTCATGCTTCAGGCATCCTTAAACCATCCGGAAAAAACAAGCCACAAAGCCCCATGGGATTCATCATCGATCCAGTCGATCCAGGGACTTCGAGAGATGCGCAAGGGAGTTGAAAGCGGCCATTGGCGCCTCGTTTTAGAAACCATAAGATCCACATATATACAGTGTCTATATATATATGTAACATACTATGATGTATATGCATATACAGATATAATATATATATACATATATATATATACATAGTGCAGACTTGAGGAAAGTGTTGTGACTTACCCTCTGGTAAATGTTTACATAGCGAACTGGAAAATCACACTTTTAAATTTTTTCATGGGTAAATCCACTATAAATGGCCATTTTCAATAGCTATGTTAGTTTACCAGAGGGTACATTCTCGTTCTTAGCTTTTTGCAATGGGTTTTCGATCAATCCTCTGCAAGGCATAGTTGCTGTGGGTTTTGTGCCATGACGACCACGTGCATGGAAAATTTCCAGATATCTCAAGGAAGGGTCTTATATGAGTTGGTAGTGATTCCCCTCCAAGTCCTCCGGCAATCAAACTTGGCCGGGGAATTTCCATCTTCCAAAGCCATCGACGGACTGTCCATTGCCAGGTCTTTACTGAGATATGATTTGGATTGAGATTAGAATTTGAAAATTATCGAAAATACTTATCCATAATAGTATAATAGTGATTCACTAGGGATTAATATCACCTATCCAATAGAGGAATTTCGAGGAACTCCCCAAGATCCACTGGTAAAAACCCGACAAAAAATGACCCTAACCGTTAGGGACATCCTGGGAGTATACTGAGGTCTTGCGCAGCGGGAGGCTTGCGCCAGTGCGTCCAATGAATATCCGATGAACTGGACGTGCCATCATGAATTCCAAAATGTCCCTTTGTCACATTGCCATTTTGTCACTCTATAACGGGTAGATCATGATTATACATGTTAATACATGTATCTACATGTATTATATTCACATTTTGTGGGGTGTATCGTGCATCTATCTTTGGCCCATCACTCACACAATGTGTCATGGATGTGTTTAGGTTTGTGCATGTTTATACCCTGAAATATACATGTGTGCAGGTGTACCTAGATCCTCTTAAGTAGACATCAAAACAAACTTGTACCAGCATTTGAACATGGCAATGGAGACTCAAACATATATATATATATGTATATCTATAGTATATAATATATATAATTATATATATCTATACTGATTGGTGGTTTGGACCATCTTTATTTTTTCCATATGTTGGGAATAATCATCCCAAGTGACTTTCATATTTTTTCAGAGGGGTACGTATACCACCAACCAGTATATATATATGTGTAGATATATATATATATATTTATATTATATTATATTATATTATATTATATATATAATAGTTCGAGAAAACATCCCATGTTCTCCCGATGTCGCAGGTCGCTTGCCATTGTGTCAGCTGGTGGCAGGTGCACTAGGCACCACCCAGGCCCATCCGCTTCATCCGCTTCATCCGCTTCATCCCATCAGAATATGGCTGGTTTAACCAAGAGTGTTGGTGGTTTGCACCTATTTTTTTCCATAGCATTCTATGGTAAATTCTATGGTAAATGCCACTTAAAATGTCACCATTTTCCACATTGAACATGTCTCAAAATGGCGAATCCAGGCAGCTCGTGAGCGGCTCATAGACGCAGGGGTTGGGAAGCCCAGGGCTGAAACCTCGAATGTGAAGAAGAGCGGCTGGAAGATGTTTTTTTGGTTGGTGATGAGCATTGTTACCCTCTGGTAAACTAACATGGCTATTGAAAATGGCCATAGAAATAGTGGATTTACCCGTTGAAAATGGTGATTTTCCATAGTTATGTTATGGTGATTTACCAGAGGGTAAATGGTTTTAATTTTCATTCAGGTTCGAGTTTTTTCAGGATGGGAATGGGTCCCTGATAGCTTTGGTATGCAAGTTGCAAGCGTTTGTAACCCAAAAAGAGTTCCTACTCGATCCTGTCAGCATTTTGCGTTACATACAACATTCACATCCTTATTCTATCAACAGATTAAAGTCGGCCCTCATGTTTTACAAAGTGTTGGCTCAAGGAGAGCTAGGAACTTGATGACTCAAAATTTCACTGGAAAAAATCAGGCTATTCCTGGATTTACCCTCTGGTAAACAGACAAAAAGCTATAGAACATCAGCATTTTGAATACTATACACGGGGTATTTTCAATAGCGACCTGTTAGTCATTACCAGAGGGTACCCAAACCTCGTGAAATTTGAAGTTTTGACATTTCAAGTCAACGGAGATGGGTCAAGGTGATCAACCTCCTGTTGGGTTTAGTGCAGAACGAGGACAGCGACTGACAACGGAGGGTGGGCTGAAGAGTAGACCGGAAAAAAAATGGACTCTCAACTTCCCGTATATTGATGGATATTGTGCATATATATATAATATCTTATAGTCTTATATTATATATATGTATAAAATCAATTGATGTTATGTGTATGTAGAAATTTGTGTGTGCGATATCCAGCAATTTGCGAATGAATGGGACATAGTTCTGATTGAACATCCAGGAAGCGGCCCTGGACGACGTCCGACCCGCACTGAACGTCATCGTGGCGCGGGAGGTTCGGTCTCCCACAGCAGTTTCTTTAGGGCCATATCATTAAGACAACTTACAAAAATGTGGCTATAGATGCTATATATATATACATGTATACATATAATACCTCGGGATTAAATAAGGGGCTATATCCTTGGGATGGGGTTTAACCTATATTAGGAGCACCTCGATGTGACTTCAGGGATATATCATCCCATATACCCTGTTTGTAGGTCAAATCAGATTAATAAACCCTGACTCTGAATTGGGGGGATTACCCCAATTCACAGTGATTAGTAGTACCACTAGAATTGCTACACCCT